TTTTTTATATAGATGCTTGACTTATATATTAATATATTTGATAGATTGTCTTGATTTTTTCCAACAATCAATGGCATATACATTATGTCATAATAAAAATAATCAGGGTTAGGGACTAGTCAGGGTAACAGCCCAAAAAACCTAAAGAAAATGCACTACTTATATACCTATAAATGTAAGAATGAGTATTTAAAAAACAAATTAAATACAYATAATATATTTGCCGTTCAAAAAATAGTAAGTTATATTTCGGGAAACAACAGGTAGATATATATGTATATTATAGTCCATAGCACATGAGCATAAAAAAATAAATAGGTGTATTAATTAATATACGAAGTTACAAAAAATTACCTTCGCTCAGAGGCACCGAACCTTATGAAGGTCGGGCCATGGCTCGACATATTTTGAAAATGTAGGATAGGCTCTCTTTATATTGACAATTTTCCTCTTCACGGTATATCATTTTTTCCGATACTAAGATGTTGGGCCTCTTGAAATATTTTTCGTCCTATTACATTTTTAGAACTTCGGCGCCACTGCGGCTACGCTTATAATATGATGTCTTTTCATAAACCAACTCGCATCATTAAATGTTTGAAATCGTCGATCACTGGATCATGTTTTTCAGTTGTAGTGATTTTTCTGACATCTGACTTGAACAGTACCTACACGTTATAATCAATTACCTATTATCCATAATGAATCTATACTCTACATGGTAAACTATTTAAGTGGGTACACTAATTATTTCGAAAAGTGATAACTTTTTTCGATAATTTTTTTTTTAAAACTTTTAGGTTTATATTTTTCTAAAACCGTATAATATTTTAATTTTTTTCACCCTTTTATTTATTAGTGAAACTACTTTCAACCTTTGATTTTCAAATGGTAACATATAATTAAAATATCATGAATTAATAAAACTATTATTTTTAATGAATTCACGTGTTAACATTTTTAATTTTCGTTGATTAGTTTGCGAGATACAGCTCATCAAAGTGTTGGTGGTTTTTAATTTTTTACTATTTTTCCATTAATTGTAAAAACCAGGAGCGGCAGGAACTAGTGATAAATGTGATATCGTTGAATCAAAGGTAACAAAATAAATGACAAYTAATTAAAGATTACTATTCTACTTTGAACCCTAATCATTTATTAACTTATCCAATTGAACAGTTATCAATATTGCTACAATAACAATATRCTACAATATCTCTTCTCTTTCAATCACGATTAATTTTAAAAGCTGTATTTTGCAAATCAATCAACGTAAAATAAAAATGTTTTACGCGTAAATTCATAATACAAATGATTTTATTAATTCATGATATTCTTATTATATACTACCATTTGAAAATCAAAAGTTGATAGTGGTTTCACGTTTCACCAATAAATATAAAGGCGAAAAAAATTTAAATATTATACGGTTTTAGAAAAACATAAACCTAGAATTTAAAAAAAAA